CTTATGCTGTACCTTCTACTCTACGACCGAAGATCTTGAGATGCAACGTAACTGATATAAATTGTAAACGTCTATTAGATTATGAATATAAAAACACTCTAATATAATGACACCGAAAAATGAACATCATTAACGTAACTTGTTTATATCACATAGTCGACGTTTTGCTGTTAGCTTATTTATTGATTTTATCGTAGGAAATATTTTACAATCGAAACGAAAACTTTAAAAGCGATTACAAATCAGGTGTAATGGCGATCGGCCACTTATTCCGTCTAGTTATTCGGCTCCCATAATAAAATAACAGTAGTTAAAAAGCTTTAGTGGGCAATGTTGCGGCCGTTAGGTTTACGAGCTGCTATTATTGATGTGACGTATTTCATCGATGATGAAGCAGCGAGGCTTATTAATGATGTACGTATCGATTGTTCTAGAACTGAGGCAGTTAACGATTTTTTTTAACTAGCTTCATACACATTTATGGAACCAATAGTTATACGATAGCTAAAATATATACTGACGCTGTTTTTCATATTTTAAATGGAAATTACTATTATATTTAACTTAGCTACAAGTGAAGTCTTTAAGTCGGAATTTGGGAATATATAATGCCGTGAGAATTTTACGTTTTTGACATATTTTCCTTTTGTTCTATTTACAAAGATTTCATTTTATGTGCTCAAAGCGTTATGTAACATGTAATTGTCTTTTCATTACACTCATTATCTCCCCTGCCTTATCGTACTCCCGTAGGCGCAACGGGTTTTCGTCCTCCAAAGCAATCTATCATCCTTCATCTCAGTCATCACTCCCTTCTTGATCATGTCACCTTTCACGCAATCCATCTCTTTCTAGGTCTACCTCTCGGTAGAGGTACATCGGTATGTATCCTTCCACATTCATAACTAACGTCCGTCTTGTTACATGCGATTCATCCCTTCTCATAACATGCCCATACCACTCTAACCTTTTACTTCTTATTTTCTCAACCACTGGGGCTACTCTTAAACTTCCTCTAATATACTCATTTCGTATCTTATCCAATCGTGTTCCACTGTTAACAATATAATAATTATTATATTTTTTTTTAACCACCGAAAAAATCATTTACGATTTTTCTTGTTCTACCTACCTATTATGATTTTTAGGTATTCGAAAGATTTTCACAAGATAGACTTTATATGTGTAAATGACAAACCGTTTATGTACTTTACGTGATCGTGTAACGAAAATTCATACTTAATGTGGTATTTAAGTTAGTTAAGTTTACTGTATATAACATTAAGCAAATTGTATTAATTACATTTTTATGAAAAATAAAATCAAAATTAACCATAGATATAAAACCTTCAGATACGCAAAACCTCTGATTGCCTTATAATACAAAATAACAATTGTAAAATCGATTTTCGACTGGACGTCATAATTGTACGACATACTATTTTACTCCTTACTAATAAGATACGATGGTTTGGATGGTTGGATGTTACTACCGATTTTCTATAATAGTAGTTCATTGAGTCGTGATGATGATTGGCAGAGATTTAAAACAGCCTGGAAGATCATATAGGCTATTGAATAAGGATTTTATTTTCGATTCCGCGCAGACGGTGTCGTAGGCAAAAACTAGTTTGTACATATCTATGCAACTATCTAGCAAATTATTACAAAAAATGGAATTATAATAACTCTTAGGGGTTAAGTAAGCAGTCTACTTTTGGTTGGCAGATAATTTCTGAGATTAATTAATTATTTTTTGTACTATGAAAAAGGCATTTTCCTCAACATTGGGTAGTTCATCATATTGTCAGTATGATTGATGTGGAAGTCAGATATTTTTCATCGATGCCTAGACGTGCCAGATGCGAGTGATTGATACAGGGTCGTATTGTTAAACAATATTTGTTTTGATTTTATAAGTTATTCGATTAAAGCTCTCACGCGACTTGTATGTTAAAATATTGCTATTAAGCATGGTTCCTACATCTTTATTTATATCTATACTAATGTTATAAAGAGGAAAGATTTGTATTTTTAAATTAAATTAGTTTTTTTTAACAAACATCATACATTTTACTAGAACACTCTCAGATATTGGATTTATATTTATTGAAAGGTTTTCCGCAAGGATGCGGCGTTATCTGTCGAAACACGAACTTCAATAAAGTTGAAAATACACTTTACCTGAGTAAAGTGTACGGTAAAGTCGTACTTAGTATTTTTATAGATGCTATTTTTACAGACACCATTAAGTGACTACAGTATCCTTAGGGAGAAATTATTGTTTGAATAACCTTTTAACAAATTTATAATCCTACTTAATTGTTTGTGGATCAATACGTGTGTTTGAAGGTGCTATGTTACGTAAAAATCTATTTCATTATATACTAGCTTTCGAAAGCGACTCCGTC